CGAAGAATAACAAATAAACTATTAATGATGGAAAAGGCTCCGGATAGAAAGTACAATCCTGAAAATGTAAAACTTCAATACCTTTCTGATTCACTAAGGCAAGAATTCCTTCAACAACTCAAAGAAACACAGCAGAGAAGTTGCCAAAATAGAAATAACCTATTACTTTTGATCAAATGGCTATCAATCAGCAATCCTACCCTTGCCACGAAACTAATACTTCAAAGAAACGATGTGATAGCTAAAAGAATTAACGGAAATTTGATGGTGGCTCCTTGCAAATCAGAACAATCAGCAATCGAAAATATCGAATTCAAAGGAGATTTAATAAGTAAGTTTGAAATTGAGAGAATTAATGCAGAATTGGAAATCCTAACTCAAACCCAAAAAACAATTAATTCAATACCACATCAAATGAAGGATGAACTCTTTTGGCAAGAAATCTCTGAAGAAGGAGAAGAAATTATCAAACAAATGGAAAAGGAATTCGATGAAATTGTTCTACCGATACAAGAAGAATTTGAAAACTTGATAACAAACTGGAAATTGATTTTTATCTGTATAATAATCGTGACATTATTAACTATTTTAATTATTATTAAGTGGAAATTTAAATTAGTTCAATCTCTCCTTTGTAATACTTCAAAACGAAATTCAAATCAAACTACCATCATTACTCTCCCTATAGAAGCACAACACACTCAATTTCTAACTAAAGAGAAATCCCACCTATTAAACTTCATACATTTAACTATATACCTCAAAATCACTCTCTCAAAATTACTTCTTAAAACAATTTCTCTCCCCCTTTGGGAGTGTCGCGAATTATAATTTCGCGAAAAACTTCTAACTGTCACGAAATATTTAAATTATTATATCCAAAACTAACAAATTCCTCTTATCTAATTCCTAAATCTAATTTACATTTACAAAATTCATCTCACACCAAATGATTCAATTTCCGAATATTTTTTGCATTTGTAATTCAGCTATGACTCATACTAATCTATTTCCTCCTTTCATACAATAAAACTAATCTTGTTAAATAGCGATAAAATGTGATAAAAATAATTAACACCTGCAAAACTGTTTAGGGAAATCATTACATTGTTAACAATCTTGTTTTTTCATCCATAGAAATTCTTCCATCTAATTTCCATTCATTAAATCAGTCTTATATATAAACCAACCAATCCTTCTATAACCATCATTTGCTCTATGTTTTGGGTGATATTAGCATGCGTCTAATACTTTATAATTTCGTATTATTTGCCTCATGTTAAATAAAGGTTTAATTACCCAAGTTTGAGGTTTATTAATCTTCCTACTGTATTGCAACAATTCGAATATCAACCAACAGACAACCTTTCACGACATAGAAGGCATTTTGATTATTTCATTAACTCATACCATTTCTCTGCAAATATAACAATATCACTAGAAGATATTTTGATTCTCTACAGATTAAACAATATCACTAGAAGACATTTCGATCAATTCATGCCACTTCTCTACTGATAAAACAATATCACTAGAAGACATTTTGATTAATTCACGCCATTTCTCTGCAAATATAACAATATCACTAGAAGGCATTTTTTATTCATTAACTCATACCATTTCTCTACAGATATAACAATATCACTAGAAGACATTTTGATTAATTCATTAACTCATACCATTTCTCTACAGATCACTAGAAGGCATTTTTTATTCATTAACTCATACCATTTCTCTACAGATATAACAATATCACTAGAAGACATTTTGATTAATTCATGTCACTTCTCCACTGATATAACAATATCACTAAAAGATATTTTGATTATTTCATGCCACTTCTCTGTAAATATAACAAGATCACGAGACGATTTTTTTTTTTTGATTTTTTTGATTAATAAGCATATGACTAATTGATTTCTTTTTCTTATGTTGGATTATCGCGATATTGAATTCACGACATTCCCAATGGGGTAGGAGAAACCTTGAATGAGAGGTTTACACTGTCGCGAATTATAATTTCGCGAAAACTCCTATCTAAAAATATATATCATAAATTATCTCTACATAAATCTAATTTCTTATGATTTTGTCATGTGATTTTCATCATAGATACGTTCAGTTCTCACATTGTAAATTCTCAATTTTTTTACACTTCCGACTCTTCAGACATTATAAAACAATCTTACAGTATCTTAAATTATCTCTCTTTAAATCTAATTTTTTTGGTTTATTACACATGTAATCTCATATCATAATTTCTCAATTCTCATGAACATTTCCGATTCTTCACATTTTTATCTTAGACACGCTCAATTACCACTCATATAAAATTCAATCCTAAAAAATTACATTGGTTATTGTTTTTAAGGTCGATTACTACTCGATTTCAAATCCTCCAGTTTTCTTTTATAAATTTCTTCTCTTTTTATTGCACGGTTTGTTAACATTACGTTCTAGAAAAAAAAATAAAACTTTATTAATCTTCCTACTGTATTGCAACTATTCAATATCAACCAAATAACTTTCACGACACTATCCAGTTTAATTCATTCAAATATTGATTCTTATATTTTCTCTAATATTACATTTCAAAACTCGTTATGCACTTTCTTAAGCAAATAACGGCAGTGAAAGTGCATTCAACAGAATTTCACAGTTGTAATATTCTATGATGTATTATTGATTGATTTACGAATCTCTGAAAATTTTACTTTGATAGTTTGAATTTAATACATTATCATTTGATGTGAAAATGTGACAAGAAGTACATACCTGAATAGTTTGAGGGTACATACCTGATATGGAATGAGGGTACATACCTGAAGGATAATTTGGTTTAAGAAAAGCTAATTCAATACTGGACAAATACATTAAAAGCCCTTGATTCCTTCTGGGGAAAAGAGAATATTTGAATAGTCTTAAAGAAAGGATACAAGGAGGACATTCTTCTCCGAGAGATGTAGTAAGAAGAGCTCCCCATGAAGGAGAGATTGTGTTAGTAAATGAACCAGAAATTCCCGTGGCATGTGGAAATTAGCCAGGATAAAGGATAAAGGAAATTAAAAGAAGATAGGATAGAAAAGTAAGAAGTGTCTCAATAAAATTACCACAAGGAAAAATTCTCAACAGACTGGTGAATATGCTGTACCCATTGGAAATCAAAGACGAGGAAACTTCAGATTCTCAATCAACAGTGTTCGCTATAAGATATCGAATTGCTCATCGATAACGCTTCATCCACTAAGGCTTCTGTAATGCTCTTTAAAATTATAATAGTTTATAATAGAATGATAAGTATTGAAGAATTGAACACTCTCAAGAAATGTAATATTAATTGCAATTTAATTTAAAATTTGATTTGCATTGGTGTCAGATCAGTACTTTTTCAACTAAAAATTAATTCATTTACTAATTTTTCTTTTAATAACATTAGGTTTTATGAAGTCATAATTTCACTATTATCCTAATAAAAAAAAGAAAATCATGATAGCTGAAATTATAATTTTTTTCGTTTTAATTTTTTAAAAAATGCTCGAAAATGTATATTAATAATTGGTCTATTAATACATATAAGAATGAAATTGACCCTTTCGAATATCCTTTCCAGCAATATTGATTTCTTTTGCTCATAAGTGAAAGTATGATAAGGTGAAATAAATCGAATACAGTGCGACAGCTGAGTAAAGGCTCAGCAATAATAATAGAAGCATCAAGAAAGAATTAAGCTGTACACCTATGTAAATATTTAAATACATATTCTTATTATATAAATTTAAGTTTAATGTATTTTAAAAAAAGTGATAATTGTTGTGAGAGAATTTGATTGTTTAATTAATAATATTTGGAAAAATATTTGATCGCAGGGAGATTGTCTTGGATGTGAATGTAAATGCGTGAGGTAACAGAAATATAATCCAAGTTCTTTATTAGCAAAATAATAGGATAAACGTTGATAGAGAACAATTGATATTCCAATCGTCGGTCCTTGGCGATAAATTACACATATACTACATCTTTTAACAAGTGTGATCCATATATAGCAACTATCTTACATTATATGTGTTAAAATGTGGGAGTGGTTTATAATTAGACATTTTTGAACAAAGGATGATATTAAGTAACTTTAATAATAGGTTTAAAAATGGATATTACGATGAACTGAATGGATATTACGAAAGAAAGTACAATGGTTATACATTATGATGAATAGCTACTATGAGTTGCAATAGACATTACATGATAGATGCTCACAGTATGTGAATTGATATGAGATCAAAAGTCAATTAAACCATTAGATGAATTGAAAAAGACATCAATGGTTTGCTATATTAAGCATTGTTGACATTTATTTAGTGCTTCGCCATGTTAAAATCTGCGACAATAATAAAGTAAAAAAAACAACACAATTGTAATAATATTTTTAACTAAATGTGATTAAAATTGTGAGAAATATTGACTGAATTAACCAGTAATTATATGATAAGCTATTAATATGATAAGTAATACCGCTACAAATAGTAGAAATATGAAAAGATGAGGAAGCATCAGATATGGTATCATCTTCTGTACTGAATATACTATAGCAATAACGCTAATGAACCACGAAAGCCGCAAATAATTTTACATTTATGATATTGAAAATATATTTGATAAATTTTAATGAATTATTATTCGTATTAAAAGAGTTATTTTTACTTATTACGGGAGTTTTCTTTTTTCTTAATTGATATAATGAAAGATTACCTGTATAATGATAAGAGGTATGATATAATGAAAGATTACCTGTATAATGATAAGAGGTAACAGTCAAAATGTAAAGCATATTTCAAATTATCAATATTGTAGAATATATTTCTACATCTAAAAAGTTATTAATTCTGAGAAGTTAAAATGTGAATTAAGGATAAATTCTTATTTCAATTAAATTTTACCTAATTTTTATCACTTATTTATCCATATATATACTATCCAATGATTTGCATTTTTCAGAAAAAAAGTTAAACCTTAATAAGTGCTACTTTAATAACTTTTTTTTTCACACCTTGTAAATAACTAAAAAGAAGAAAAGCGGCAGCTTGTATAGCTAATACTGTAAAATGAACGGTAGACAAACTTCCAAAACAACAACAATCCTTGCCGATCCAATAATTTCCCATCTGCAAAAATTTTAGCTTCATTTATCCAATCATCCATCCCTTCATTATTCACTCATTTCATTTCCATGCAATGATTTTACCGCGTCTACCTTTTCTATTCATTCTTTTTCCGCTTTTTTAATACAATCTATTGACAAAAAAAAGAAAAATTTTAAATAAATTTGATTCAAAAATAAGAAGTAATATATTAGAAATTGATTAAAATTGAGATTTATTTATGTGTAACAATAATAATTTTATAATATAAAAAATGATACCGAGAAATGCATAATAGCACTTTATGGATTGGCTTGAAAGCATGCTTTGTCATCCTATAATATTAGCTACCTGTCCCCAAAACAAATCTGATGCCATTTTCTGGTCAAAAATTTTGTCGTAAAATACTTAAATAAAAGTGGAAATTTTGCAAAATGCTGTTTGCCATCTATGAAGTAAATAAAATGAGGGATGGTGAGAGTGAGATGGAATACCTTTTGATTGTAATAAAAGTAAACATCGGATGTCTCTAAGGATTTGCAGAATTGTCCGCTATATGGCATCTCACATATACAATTTTGTCCACTTTCATCCGATACATCATGAATGCACTGATTTGATCACAATTAATACCTTTCCAACCATCCGAGCAATCCACGCAACTGAAATTTTTCACATACACTTGTTGTGACTTTGTTTTCGCTGATTCTATTATTTAGTTTTAATTTATGAATCTCATATATGCAATAACAACTCCACATAATTCAATTAGTAATGATTTTACGATCAAATCGAGAAAAATTTATTCTCTTCTATTTATTCCTAAAATCTAATTATTGTTTATTTATTCTATTAAATTTGCAGTGCTTACTATCCTTTTAATCATTGATTAAATGGAAAACTGAATAAAACGGATTTCAATGATATTTAACTAGTAGTCATCCATACTATAAGTATTGGTTTTATTTAGGAACGTCTTTATATTTTGTTAAGAAAAATCTTTTTCTTGTTAAATTATTTGTTATAATAAAAATAAATTCTTCTCAAATTGCAAATGAGAAACTGTAACCTTCCATTCGATTGAAATTTATTAAACTTGCAGTGCATGACACGATTGCAATAAGTACCACTACAGCCGCTTATACATATACATCGACCACCATTGAACTACCATTGTTACAACTGAATTTAATTCCTTTTTCTTTCTTTAATTTTACTTGTAGAAACTTTTCGCATTTAATATGTTTCATTCATAAAATGTATCTTTCATAATTTATACAAAAATGATAATAAAAAATGTAAAATTTTGTCTAAAATTTTGAATAATATAAAAAAGACGATTAAATGTTGTGAATATCTAAATTAATGAATGCGCATACATGGAATGCATTCTTATTCGCTAAAAAACATCTAAAAACTTTGTCGTTAGCCTATTACGATTAATTTTAATCAAAAATTTAAAAAGTTAAACAAATGAATTAACTAATATTGATTTGACTTGAATATATTGACGGACATACTATTCATGATATTCATGAAAATGTCACATAATATTACGATGATGCTTTCATTGATTGCCACCAACGAGATCGATAACGCTTAATATAGCAATTGACAATAGTATCATCCTTGTATCCATCAACTTCTGAAAATGCACATTTGAGAAATAATACAGGTAAGTGTATTTTCAATAGATACTCAGGTAGAAGAATGATGAATTTGAACGCCATATGAAAGCACAAAGTATTGATCATCTACAATTTTTAAAAAGTTGAAATTTTTCAGCAAAAAAATTAATTACGAGAAAATTTTTAAAATGATATAATTAAGAGGAGAATCCGAAAAAAAGAAACGAAAGAGATGATAGTATAATCTAATTAAACTTTAGATTATAAAGTAATTACGCATAAGTAAGCATGTGATTGTTTGTAAAGTTATAATGTCAAACAGAATACAATATTTTGAAAATAATTTCAAACATCATTTACTTCAATAATTGTCATAAAATTAACAGATAGAGTTTGTTTTTTTTGAAGCATTGAAATTTCAAAAATTTTCCAATTTCATTTCAATAACTAAAACATTTTAATTTGAATGCACTTAATTACGAGTTAAATGATGTAATACTAATTTTTTAAATATTGAAATTTGAATAATTATTAATCAGTACCATACTAATTAATGTATATGATAAAATAAAAATGTTAATAGTACCATCAAGAAAACAGTTATCACTGTGTACTTTATTTTGCTGAAATGATTTAAGGAAATTGTTGAAATATTGAGAGGAATGGCATATATGTTACGGAAAGGAAAAAAAAATTAAATTAAATGTGAAGTGTTTGAGAAGTGGTGATCATTTGATGGGAACAGGTTCTGACCATCAAATAGCTGTTAGAATTGAAATAGAAAGAACATAATTAATTAAAAAGGACATAATTAATTATGACATATGCAATATACTTTAAGATATGATTCTTAGCACTGATCGTTCCTTCAAAATATTGCAATTTCTTATTTTTAGAATTTAGAATCTACTCGTTGATAAATATTATCCAATTGAGGGAATTACTAAGGAATGTATGGAAAGTAAACAAATGTAAAATAAGTAAATAAAAAAGAAATACCTGAAATTATATAATAACAGAATGAGTGAATAACATGCATACCAAGCACTAATTTCATTAAGTTTTACCATTTCTTGGATACAGTTTTTGCATTGCGAACCAAATGGATCGGTTAAAGTCGTTGGGAAGTGTGCTTTTTGGGATACCATGGAAATCTCGGGAGATGGAAGATGATACCGATGAAGGAGATTTGGTATGTTTTTGAACTTTTCACTATCTACCAGGTGTTATATATTTTTTTTTATTTCGATAACTAATTAATTTTTATTTCGTAGAAAGTTAATTTATCTTAGAGAATCTTTAGGAAATAGTTGTTACAAGATTTGATATTGCAAGACGGCTGTGATTCAGTTTGTAAGTTTAAGAAGGTAAAAATAGTTCATCGAGAAGCTTCAGAATTCTGAGGAACTTTCCATAATTTATGAGCTACTTTAAACTGATAGAATTTTTGATTTTCTCCTCTGCTACACTTTAAGTCACTTTTTCATTTGAGATTTCGTAGTTGCATATCAAAGTTCGGTCAGGAATGCATCTATCACTTTATTTACTTATTAATCGTAAACTATGAAAATTCAGTTTAGATATATAGCAAAATCCTTATGCTGAATATCACAAGTTAAATTTGCAATTAACGTTTGCTAGTCCCGCTTTTAACTTGCATATTATCAATTAATAATTCAAGTACATTTTATCAAAATGATTAGGTTCATAGAATAACACGAGAAGAATACGAGGAACCAATTCGGGATGCCTACGTGGAGTCATTGGCACGTATGCCATATGCAGAACTTGATGACAAATACAACCCAGGTATTCAGGTTGGAGTTTAAACCTTTAGTCTCCGCAACTGAGAAAGTTCTGCAGGCTTTTTCCAAGTCCCTGATGGTTTTTTCAAAAATTATAAGAGAGTATTAGTGGATTCAGGTAGTTTTTCTCAGGTCCAACATTGCCAGATGGAAGTGTGAACTTTGAGTGTCACTGTGTTGGTCACTTAGTCGCCAGTCCATGCGGTCATGAATTTCGTGAAGCAATAAAGTGCCAGAAAAGTGCTGGGGAAGCAGCCTTAGAGGAAGGAGCTTGTGCCACAGAGTTCATGAATTTTATGGATTGTGTTATCCGAACGGGATGCTTTAAAAGTGAGTTCGTCAGTTTTTTTTTTGAATTTATTTGCTCTCGCATATCTTGATGAACATACATATATTATTAGGCTGTTCAGAATATATTTCATGTATGTTGAATATTATTGTGAAATAGCCGTTTGATTGCATTGAATGTCACTAGGAGGAAGGATGAAATTTGGATTGCAGGTACGCGTGATCTTAATGAAGATGAGGATAATGAAGAGCAGAAAAACGCTAAATTAGAGGATTCGGTGCACTCTGATCAAGCGTAATGGTGCTAGTTCCATGTTTTTTTTTTATTGTTTTTATTGCGTGTATTTCTGAAATACTGTTTCTTCTTTAAAGTTCTGTTTTGGACTTAAAGTGGGTTTATAATTATAAGTACATTATTGCTCTCCTTTTGTAATTCTTATTGTTTGTCTTTTATTTGAATTATTCAGATATTTACGCCAACAGTCTTAGTGCATTATTTATTCATTCGTACGTTTTTGTCATCATTTACTTTGATAAAATTTTACTAATTTGAACAATTACGAATTTCCTAAAAAATTTGATGAATTATGTAATTCCGATTTCGTACAGCAGGTGGTATTTAAGTAGTCATGAAACTGGATCTACGGAAAAGTTTGTCCTAGTGATACGCAATTTCTTTATTTTGACTAAAGGTTTTAAGGCTAATCTCCAAAAGCATGTATTAATTTTTCAAGGCTACGTTTCCTATATGAAATATTGCAATTGGAGTAAGACATTTAGAAGAGAAAGGATTTTTCTTCCCCTTTTTGTATTTTCTAGAAGTCTTATCCCTTTTATGAGACCTCTAATGACATCTATCAATGAACGAGGGAATCGCAAGCGTACCATTATATTTATTCCAAATCCTATATTTCTTTTGCAAAAGAAAATGAAAAAGTCTTACAGTGCTTTTCGGAATTGCAATGATATTTGCGGCAAATAAAATGCAAATATTTGCAATGAAATGTGCATTTTTACGTTTTATGGAAAACGTAGTCGGGAGAAGTCCCTTTGACTATCATCTAGTAAAGGTTATTTAAAGCTATGCGAAAGATTGCGTAACGTGCATTTGCATCTGAACGAAGAAGCTTTCTTGAACAAATATTGACGATAAATGGGTAAGGAAGAGTGAAAATGTTCGCTAAAAGTGATAGTATTAAGGTTGACAAATAAATAGTCACTTTTCACCTCTTATATTTTACTGGATCCATTTGTATTATGTAACATATATTGCTCTAAGTCATCTTGAATTATTTTGAACTAAATTGACTTTGACTACATTGATTGGATTTGAGCAGTTAAATTTGCCCCAAATTGTCGTCTGGAAGTAAAGGCTTGCAGGAACAAGAATATCAGTAAATTGAAAGTGCAGTATAAGAATGTAAGCCATGAAGATTACTTTATATTACCTATAAATTAAAAGAAATGATTTTTATGTCAGTAATGTTATGGTTTTTCTTTTTTTTTGCAGACTTTTTTTTTTTTTTGCAGATGTTATGGTTTTTCTTTTTTTTGCTGACAGTAACTGATTATACCAATCCTACTGATCAGTTTGATATTACAAACAATTCTCTTAATAATTTAAATTATTCAATTAGTTATTTGCATTTTCTGAACTGCTTATTCATTTACTTACTATTTTATTCCTGTCTCATCCAGGTGTTAATATTTTAGATGAAACAATTTCCTTAAATAAATGATTTCACATTTTTTTTTTTCGGAAACAGATAGATTCTCGGGATTTATGAAATTAAGCAGATATCAGTTTTTTCCCTAATAAAGGGGCGGAAAGAAACGAATTAAAGGTATGATCTTTCATTCTAAGAAGACTTAACAGATTTTTTGGTTTTCTTCCCTTGAAATAGTCATATTGCTACAGTTCTTCAATATATCCATGCGTATTCATATTCTGAACACGGATTAGCATAGCATTTTGTTATCATATATAAATGAGAAATAATTCAGCGCTAGATGAAATAAAAATGATTAATTTTATCTTTTCTAATCATTACACTACTACTACTATCATTTTTATCATTTCTCGCTTTCTTTTTCTATTTCTTTTTTATCATATTGGAATAACTGATGTAAAATCAATGTTGTAAATATTGATTAAACTAACAAAATTTTTAATCTGATATTTCCACACTTTTTTCATCCTTATAACTTATCAATTATTTTATTAAATTTATAAAATAGGTTGCCATAGATTTTTATACCATCTCGAGTTCTATCATTCTTTATCATAAATTATCTCTTAATAAGCTAATATTATGATGTAATTATAGTAAATACTTTAACTCTTATGTCATGCGCATTTGAACAATTAAACAACAAACAAACATTAATCTAAAATTCAAAAAAAAATGAACAAAATTGACATGCGTAGTTGTCATATTAACTGATAGTTTTTGCATGAATATTTCATATTAATATTTTTATATTCAAATTTAAATTTACATTCTTTCTTCCTTATCTTATTCTTTTCGAGAATAAAATAAGCAATAAATCATTTTAGGAATATTTTATCAAATTTGATTGCTGCTCGATTAACATACAATAGTGCTAAGCACTTCATTTTATCGTACCAAGAAATCCAAATCCGCAATGTACACTAAAGCGGCTGCACCTTTTTATATGCAATCATTCCTGATTGATACCTCTAAACAGTCCTGTTCTGTCACTCTATCTCTGTACTAATAGAACAGACAAATTATTACTATCATTTCTAAGTCTTTGTCGCCTTTCTCGATTTGATGACATTAAGACAAGAAATCAATCAAGATATCGCGAAATTTTCATGAAATTTCATTTTGTATAAATTATGTTATCAAAACGTACGGTATAGAATCATTCTCAATTTACTTCCCATATTTTATTTCAAGTTTAAAATATCTAAAACAAAAAAGAAAAAAGTAAACATAAGGGAAATGAATCATACATTTCGTACAAAACATTCTCGTTGAAGTTAATGCTTCAAATATTTGAATTTTTCTTTTTCTTCACTTTTTTTTTTAATTCTTAAGATTTATTAAATATAATAGTAAGAAATATGCTGATAGATACTAATATTAGATTTAATAAAATGTCAAATGCAATTATTCTGTAATTAACAACAATGAATAGATTTATCGAAATTAAAGTTTGGGAGATATTAAGAGTAATAGGAAGGAGAAGAAAGTGAGTTTGAGATAAATTCCGGTTCAGTAGTAATTAATTGGAAGGTGCGGGTATCCCTTACAAGAAGTTTAGTGAATGAAACACCTCCCATTGTGTCCAATTGTCACTGCGGTACTAATTCTGAAGAGTACCACTTGTCGGTTTCCTTTTTTCATTCTAACTACCAAAAAACCTTCTAAATCATACCGTATTAATGCAGAAAATGAGATTTAAGATGTAGATTGGTCCCTTCTCGTCTCTCAGATCTGCTGACATGAAATCATAATTAAAAGTTTTATTTAAAATTATCTTAAAAACTTAATTAAAAATTATTTTAAACTAATATGTTAACATTGAAAATGAAGACAAACACGCAGTTAAAGCAATGTTATGACCAAGTTCAGTAATTTGAAATAAACTCATTCGTAAATTTTTAATTTTATTTTTTACTTTACAACTTTCAACACTTGCATCATCTATGTCATTAAATTGATAAGTAATTCACGAAGCAATTTTTTCTTTCAATCTTTTTTTTCATGATTCTGGAAATTTTTGAAAAAAAAAAAAAAAAAAAAAACGACTTTTATCCATTTAATTTAATTGATATGACCAGAAAATTATATAAATGAATCAATTAAAAGGATGAAACACATCAAAAGTTCTACTAATTATTGGCTCATCTTGTTCATTTGTTTAATTAATAGATTTCACTTTCATTTATCAATAATATCAATCATTCCTGAATTTTCCTTTTTACCTTACCGTAAAATATAAATGATCAATTTTTGAAATCATAAATGATAATAAAAGAAGTGTGAAAATGAGGACACAAAAGAGTGTTATGAAGTAGGATGAAGTACCTTTGTATTATCACCTGTCCTTCTTACATTTTTCCACGTGCTTTCACATCAAATACTCTCTAATTTTAGGAGAACTATTCCAACAGGTTTATACCCTACCCTAGATTGGTACCATATTTTCTATTTGTTTTACCTTATGTCGGCAACTTTCCCTTTTCTTTTTTTTTTTTCTCGCCAACTTCTTTTGCTTGTTGAAGTGTTTTCCATTGCACCATCATAGCTTCTTACTCTTTGCAAATTTCAAGTACCTTTCAAATGAATCAAACAAATATTCTTTTTAACCGCTTCTTTCTTCTTTGCTTCAATATGCAACCAAAAAAAAAAAATCTGTTAAGATAAGTAACGATCACGTCAAATTTCTTTTCTTCTTTTAAGCTTATCCTTTGAATATGCTATTGCTATGAGAATCGGTTATCTTTTGATATTAACATTGAGGTATTATTAATTCATGAAAGGTATATTTCAATAGTTAAAAGTTTCACAAAAAAAGATAAAAAAATTATTACAGAAGCAAATTGAAAAATAGGATAATTTCTGGTTTTTACTTCAAATAAAAATTTAAAAAAAAAAAAAAAAACGTTTCGGCAAAAATGAAACGAAAGTGTAAATGTTGACCTTTTCAGTTACATATGTCAATAAATTTTTTTCTTGTTTACTTAAACGACAAAAAAACTATTGTCACCAAATATTTTGTTCATTAAACAAAATGATAATGATGAAAGCGATAATTTTTCATAGTGAGAATTCGAGGTCAATGTGTTATTACTCTTGGTTGACCTCTTGGAATGAACTAATTCACTTAAAGGAAATTATGTTATCCAGAACGGAATCTATTCATAAATCAATCATTACTATGATGTAACAATTATTACAACAACTTTAATATTGTTACTCTATGTTTTTTTCAAAAATCTTGACAAACAATTTAAAATTCGAAATGATATTAGTTAAATGAGTTGTCACAGTTGTATGACATATTTTAGCATCTTTTGAAGTTTTGAATTCATTTAAAATATTGCTACTATGCTACTAAAACTGGTTGTCATTTCTTTTTCATCTGTTAATTTGTGCAGCTGAAATGGATAGAAGTAATTGCACATCATATCGTCGCCAACCTGCTTAAATAGCATAATTATCAAATGGATTATTGATAGCACCAAAATAAGTAGTCAAATAAAGCAATCAATTCAAAAACAATAACAACAACAAAAAATTCATACAAAATACAAAATGAATTTTCTTGTAGTAATGCAAAAAAAGCAACGAAAAACAAAATATTTATCAAATTGCATCATTGATATCAAATGTAAACAATTATTAATATTAATAAAATCGGAAATTATTTAAATTAATTTGAATTTGAAAATTTTCACATTGAATGGCTTTTAATTCTAATATAATTTAATAAATTATATTAGAATACAAAACATAAGTGTAAAATCAAACAAATACACATACACATACACACACATACATGCACACACATACACACACATACGTACATACACATATATATACATTCATTTAAACGTGATCAAATTAATTAAACAAAAAGTGACAAAAATGCAAGAAAAGGAAATAAATAAATCCAAATTAGTAATAAAGAAATGAATTTAATAAATTCATAAATATTTTGTTTTAATGAAATATTTATAAAATTGAAAAAAAAAAAAAAAAAAAACAATTAGTAGTTGAACAGAACTTGGTTGCTAGATGAACTAAATTAAACTGAGAAGTGATTTGAATTGCATTAAAATAAATTAATTCATTTAATGATTTCTTACAAAATCAGTAATGAAATTCAAGATCAAATTCAAGAATAATTTATTTAATTTATTGATTAATAAAAGAGAAACAAATTAATAGTTAAAATAAGACAATAACGGTAGTTCATATTTGGAAAGTCTTTTTCAAAAATAGTTTACATATGATAAAAAAATATTAACAAATATTTTTATCTTTAAAAGATTTTTGTAAATAATTTTTTGGTTAATAGTTTTTTCCTACAAATATTCTTTCTTTCTTTTTTTTCAGAGAATACAGTAAAACTATTAACTGATTTTTACGCAAACATAAAGCATTTCGAATTAATTTGAAAAACAATTATAATTTAAGTACTATTAATTACATATAAACAATTAGTAATATATGCCATACTGAATTCAACTAGCTAGGCCTTTGTAAATCATTACTGAGCGGATTGAACATTGGCGGATACGAATAGGTTGCCGCAGCGGCGCTACTTTGAGCATAAGGATTATAAATATCACTCTGGTATGGATAGTATGGAGGTGCGCTGGTACCACATAAACTAAATCCGCATGCAGTATGCGGATGACTTGCACCAGGTATATGTGCAGCCGCAGGTTGTGCACCTAATGAATACACCGACGACCAGCCTGAAATAAAAATGGTTTACAATCTCGTTTTATGCAAATTGATCACAATTTTTTAAATTTATTTTTCACTTGATTTATCTATCATTTCTTGCTACTTTAGATGGCCAACCAGTGAGAAAAAATATTTGTAAGTGATATTTGATTCAATCAATAAAATCAGTAAATTAATTGATCCAATTATAAAGCAAAAGGAAATCTTCTTGGTTTATCACCTGATAAACCAGTTTCTATTTAAACAATTATCAAATAAAAGTCTAATTCTTTCTCATTGTTATTGAAAATTCCTTAGCTATATTGAATTTTTGTTAACTAAATTATTTCTCTCTTAAATATCTGGTATCAATCGATCAACAGTTCTGAATGAATAAGATCAAAAGGTTCAAAATCAAAAGACTATAATGAATCGAAAAAAATAAATTTTTGAGTGTTAAAAATGCCTCTTTCTAACTAATTAAAATGCCAGAAATATGAAATATTCAATTTTTAAACAAAAATATACCAGCTAAATTTGCAGTATGTGTTTGACATACCGCTCTCAATGGAAACTCTTCCTTCACTGTATTTCCTGAACTGCAAAATTAACTTTTAATAATTTCCAATTTTAAAAATTTTTGAATCACACTCACAATGCCATCAGTTCAAAAAAACTTCACAAATGATACCTATGAGTAGAAAATTGCTGATTTGTATAACTTGTAGGAATTTTAAATGAAAATTAATTTTACCTATTTGCAGTTTTCAGATTAAATTCTGCAGTACCCGGGATTAAAGCGGTGAAATACTCTTCTGTGCACTCGATTCACCTTTGTTAGGTTCTGGTGGAGGTGTATGACTGCTACATCGATCATGATTATGTCGCGCTTGCATCATCCGTTTCTGCTGTCGATCTTTTGCTCGGCGATTTTTAAACCATACCTTTTGTATGAAATAATATTACAAAGCTATAAAATAAATCGAAATTACATTACTTGTTTCCGGCAGGATGAAAAATTCCTGAAGTGAATTAAACTAAAATTGTAAAAAGAATTAAAATTTAACTTATATCCATGTTAACAACGAAAATTAAGCAAACAACCAAGAATCACTATACTTGAATTCGAGATTCTTGAAGTCCAATTTTTTCCGCAATTTGCTCACGATGATAAACATCCGGATAATGAGTTTGCTTAAACACTGATTCTAGATAAGAAAGTTGCATAGGATTAAATGTTGTCCGTTCCCGTCGTCCAGTTGCTTTACGATTTTGATCACTAAATTTAAATTTTATATTTTAATAAGCAAAATGATCCAATTCTTCTTAGTTCTTACTTTTTCATCATTTTTTTTTTTTTTTTTTAGATATTACAAATGTGGAAAAATTACTTAGTTGTAGTATTGGCTGGTGGATTTAGATATCCCGGGAACACAGGTGTCGAAGAATATGCAAACGATGGTTGTGGTCCAAAAATATTGTATGGGTATGGACCATTAACCATCGATTTACATTAATATTACTGTATCTAAAATTTTCCTGAAACAAACATTTTGAAATATTTCAAAAATTTGGACGAATGAAAGTTTTATAATTTAAAAGTGAAATAATTCTTTTCTCTATTTTAAAATTCATTCTAGAATTCATTAATTGACAGTAACATAATCAGTAAATATTTCACTATTTACTAATGAAGAGAAAAAAAAGCAAAAAATTTATTTGCAAAAAAAAAGCAAAAAAAATTTATTATAAAAAAGCAAAAAAAGCTTTTTAAGAATATTTTTGTTTTAAAAATAAAAATCAAAAAAATAAAAAAAAAAATTGTGATAGATCTTATGAGATAACCTCTGATCTATGCTTTTTTTTTCTATGAATAATTCACAAGCTAAAATAATTTTTTTGATTCATCAAATCCTACAATCAAAGCAGACATGCCCAGGATAAAATGATTGAGTGGGGCGCGTTTGTCGGCCACGCCCAAAGGTATATCGTACGACACCGTATGACAATGTACGACATCTAAGTTTTCGAGTAATTTAATATTCATATAAAGTCATCAAACTTCTAAATGATAGGTAATAGATGTTGAACGGTTAAATTTCCAAGGTTCCAGAGTCAGCAAATGAATTCTGACAAAATGATAAATTAGAAAATATATTTTTAAGTGAAATATCACATATTATCAATTATTTAAAAAAAAATATGCATTCTTATAAATAATTATAAATTTTACCACTTTCTTACGATATATGAAAGAAATATAAAGTAAATTAAATGAAGAAAAACCTGATATCATCCAATTCTTTTTTTTTTTTTTTTTTTGTAATTTGGAATACTAATTAAAAGTTAATGCAACAAGAAATTATGCTATTGAAAGTTTTTCGTTTTTTTTTTCTTTTTTTTTTTTAATTCAAATAGAAGCTAACTGCAATATTATTAAAACGGAGAAAATATTAACAATTTTACAGTTCGAAAAGAAATTGCTAACTCTTTTTTCCCAATTAATCAATTTTTTAATGTCGAAATTGCAATATTTTGTAAAAATTTTAATACAGTAATTAAAGAAAAAACATTTTGTGATTGTATAGAATTATGTCGGTTTCATTACATTTACCTTACAATCAATTATAAATTTATTTACGAATCATCATTACTTACGTAATACAGTAAATAAGGCTTATCTGATACGATGGTGATTGATGGTATACGAAAAGGAGATTAATACCTTAGTAGAATGACAGTAGGTACTAAGGTACTACTTATTAAATTTCTCTAACGAAATAGCTGTTAGTAGTAGATGATTACTGGTTTTTTTTCAACTATAACGAAACAATGGTTGTAGTAAGATACCCCTGCGATGCATATCAGCGGCATTCATATCCGTTTACACGTCACTGAACGCCGAATTGACCTTTGTTTATGACAAGATTTTGAGTGGATAATACTACCCAGAAAATATAACTTCTATAAATTTACCTTGGTATTGTAGTTTGAGATGATGACCAGAAGAACATTCTTAATAGTTGTAAATATTTTCCAAATTTGATGTTCTGTTAAATCCATTTTCCATGTTTTAGATATACTGAAGATAAATGAATACATTTCAAACTAATTTTAAACTTGAAACAACATTTAAAATTAGGCTAAGGAATTGTGAATTTATTTCAAATGTTCACATTTAAAAAAAAATTGCTAGAAGAGAGAAAAGTAAATTTACGGCAGCAAAGAAAAACCTAGAATTTAAATGTGCAATGGGAAAAAGAAAGAGAAGAGAAAGAAGAGATACGAGAATATAATAGTGAAAAAAAGTGAAATGTTTTAAATCAAAAAAAAAAAATACAAGTATACATGGCCGATTAAATTGGTCATCCGGAATTAGAGCTATGTAAAAAAAAGTCTTAAACTGTTTTTGAAATTGTAAATCTGATTGAATCTCATAAAAAATATTGTCCACCCGCTTAAATAATCATTAAGCAATTGTCTTTTCATGAATTTCACTTATCAAAGTTAGTACCAATGTGTCAGACACGTTATCATTATTTCTGATCGTATCAAAGCAACATTCCTGAGTGACATGAAGAGGTTTTTCTCAAATTTCATGAACTCAAAAAATGGCTACAGGTGGTATTCGTTATGAATTCGTTATGCAAGTCCGATACCGCTATAGACGGCATCGTACTTTTCGATGCAAATTATTAGGTTGGTGGAAAGTAAAATGACATAAAATAAAAATCGAAGGATTGAGAGCACTATGATGATAGAAATCGACAAATAAATCTTTGGCATAGAAATAATACTCAAATATCATTAATTCAACTATTTCAGATAATTATCAAAAATTTTAAGTCTGGAGAACACATTAGAATATAAAAATATAGCAATCAATTTAAATACAAATGCTAATTTGCTATTTTCATACTAATTTTAATTTTTTAAAATTAAATTTTAACTGAGTTTTATCAGCAATTATATATCATATCGCTCTTCACACTGATGGAATTCTATTTAGAGAAGAAAAAAAAAGTTTTACAGTTGAATTAAAAAATTGCATAATTGAAAAATTGGAATATAATTTGCCATTCTATGACTAAAACTTAAATTTTGAAATACTATTTATTAATTATAGAAATCACGCAGTAGTAATGTAAATTGAGTATGAAATATAAAGAAAAAATGAGTGGAATATTTACAATGATGAAAGCATTAAATCAAATGAAAAAGTGTTTTGAAGTGATTGTGACTGGCTTCACTCTGATGAAAAGCAATATGGAAAATGTCTTTTACCTTTAGACATCTTTAAACAAAGAAGCGAAAATGACCGCATATTAGGTAATCCTGAGTGACGAGTGAATCAATTAGAAAAGTAATTCTCAGACTTGAAAAAAGAAATAATAATTTAATGTAAGATAGCCGTCGCCTTAATTAGATTATCCATAATTAATCGCTGTGTGAAGTTGCCGATTACTGTAATGCACTCTGTGAAGTAATTTTCATTTTTGGAAATTTTTGGAATGATCAGGTGGAGGGAATAATCAGTGGCGTCAACATATGACCTTATTAACATTAATTAAACTAAAATAACTGTCATTCTAAATTGCGGGCATTCATTCTAACTTTGTTTGCAAATGTTTATAATCTTTTTGTCAAAGCAATATCTCACGATAATATTTTTATACTTTTATTTTTTATTTTACTTAACGCTTTCTACGCTGTGACTTAAAACACTTCTAAAATTATTTCATATGAATAACTTTTGAAATAAAATAGACTGTAACAATAGAGTAATGTTGATTAATAATTTCGTTAAAATATAAACAATCACAATTTAAAATGTGTGAATAATAAAGGTATACAAATTGATATAAGGATTACTTCCGCAATTTGATGCAACGGCTACGATAGCAGAACCGATTCTGAGGATAATGTACAGGAAATATGGCGTAATATTTTTATTTTATATCAGATCTCATGTAACTTCCCTCTTTCTACTTTCACTAAAATAACTAACCACTGTTTCATGTAGTAGTAAAGTAAACACTATATTTGCATTAGATCCTGAAAGTAAACAAATCTTCTTCCTTCCGATTTTCTTGAACTGTTTTTTGCTTTCTAAAAATCAGTCACGAAGAATTAGAATTCTTGAGCAGCATATTTTATGATGCCAGGAAATTTTAGATGATTGAATGAAATAATGGATATCATAAAAAGAATCGATGTGGAGCGAAGAGAGAGAGAGGGAGGGAAAAGAAAAGACGTTTCCGGAGAAAGGAACAATTGGTAAATAATGAATAAAATTTGTGAAGTGAATTTCCTGAAAATGAGTTTTCAGGAAATTGATTTGTTACTTTCACTGATTTGATTCGTCATGAAATTTAATTTACATCCAGTTAATGGTCTAACGACTTTTTTAATTTAAAAAAATCTGTTCTGAAGTAGAAATGACAGTCATACAGATCTTTACAACTTTAATTTCTGTATTCTTGGAACATATAACGAGATTAGTCAAGTTCTGCATATCAGTGTGCTTCAAAAAAAAAACAAAATAATTTTAAGATTTTCTTGTTTGCTACCACAGTTATCGCTGACTTAACAACTATTAATTATTTAAACGTGAACCTAAAATGAGTGAGACCTCCGTGTTCTCTGTGTTACTGGAACCTGAAATGCGTGAAATTGCATGTCTTCCATGCTGAAATGATTTTTCTAAAATAAATTCACTAATAGTTCGACTGGGATTTTTCATAGTATCTTTGTTGTGCCACTCATCTAGGAAATTAAACCTGAATCTCCGGAAGTAAGCAAGTTGGTGTATCTGATATTTCGAGTTGGGTAAGTTGCAGGGAAACTATGGAGAAGTGGTAGGTAAAGTGAAAGTAAGTGAATTGCGGAGATACTAGGCTGCTTTACTGGTTATTTAAGTAGTATGTAATGTGGAGTAGTTGAAATGAATTAAGAGTTGCTCGGTTGGAAGTATTTAGCTATCATATGTTTAAACATAATGCTTGCATTTAGTTGGAATTTTTCAACGATGTAGGTAATTAATGTCAGTTAAATTTCAGTTTACATGTATCTTAATGGGAGTGATTAATGAGAACAAACAACAGACGGACATAAGCTGGGTGACAAGCCTGATGACCTGTGCTTATGCTGAAGGATTGTCATCAACTGAATTCGATGCTGTCTTGAAAAAGCGCATAATAACGTCTGGTTGCAATGAATAGCAATGCAGAGCCATCGCTGTAAATTTTTAATACTTAAGTTTTAATGTAGAATTAGTTATGTCAAAAAAAAAAAAAAAAATTGATCTGCTGAAATAGCCAGAAAAACTGAAAACATAAATGTAAGCAAACAAGCATTCATGAATATGACCGTTTGTGCTATAGTTGAACCGACACGAAATGCAAAACAAAACGCAAAATTTCTTAAAAATATTTAATATTAATATATCCGACAACACTGGTATTGTTTTAAATAAAATAGCGTAAGATGGCAAAGAGTAAGGAATTTTTGTAATTTATTGTAACATGATTTATTGTATTTGTTGTTCATGACAAATTTAGCAATGCTTTTTCGTTTTGCTATGGCATCAATGACCTAATCAATGAATGCTTTCCTGTCTCGAAACATTGGTGAAAGCAGAGGTATACTGTTTTGTTTTTGATCTTTAAATCTTTTTCAGTTTTTCTGGCTATTTCAGTAAATCACTAAATTTGCTTCAGTGCGTTTTTGACTTCTTTCAGACCACTGAGATATAGTTAAACAAAATTTTTTTTTCAGATTAAATTTACTTCATTTGGCTTTTTCTCAAAATTTTCTAATTTCTAGGTGCTGCGATCAGCTGTTTTCATTGAAGTAATCGATGAGTTTCGGCAGTTTTCACGTGAATACTGCATTGAAGCTCTGGCAACGATTTTACGGAATTAAGTTCCATTACTGAAGTAATGTTTCAGATATTGCAATGTTGTTATAAGCTTTCAATTTCTGATGTCCCAATGAAAATGTAGCAGTGCATTTCTAATTCTATGAATTAGGAATTATTTCCTAGGTGAAATTAATATCGGAGAAAGAATGTTTGGAATTGTCGGGTTCATTGATGAGTGTTCTAAATTGATGCTTATTGGCTCTGGAATACTCCTTAAAAAATGAAAATAAAAATGAAAGAAGCACTCAAGCCATTGTGCATGTGCATTTGCAAATGGCAAGTTTGTTCGTGCTTTGTTGTACATTCATGAACACATTGGCGCAAGTAAGTGCTGTGAATGATTTGATGAACTGAACTGTTTTTGGTTAATGAACTAAAGCCATTTAAAATAAATTTCTAGTCAAAAATTTTTCATTTATCTGTTCAGAAGTTTAGAATATAAATATCATGTACTTTTTATCGGGATCTCGTTTTAGTTGGGTCATTTTAATTTAGTTTATCTCATCTAACACTGAATCTAAATATCTGTTTTCAGAAAGTGTAAATTATGTAGTCGAAGCTGCTGTTTCATTTGCGCAAGGTTATCCTGATTGCGAAGAGTTGAAAACGATGATTGAAGCTTTGCAGCAATTCGGTGCATCACCAGCAGAACGAATTGAAGACAATCTTGGTGGCTTAGTCAAGCAGGTAGCGCGCTTCTGAGTTATTGAGGGTATCATTTATTCATGGTGTGTCGCGAATTATAATTTCGCTAAAACTTCTAACTAATTTCATACTATCATAAATCATCTCTTCTTTTCGTTGTAAACAATTCCAATTCTTTACACATATACTTTTTCTGTAAAATTGAAATTAGCTTTCATTTTAATCTTTTTGTTGTAAACCCTTTCAATTCTTTACACATATGATTTTTATCCTAGACATGCCCAATCCTCACTCATATAAATTCAATTCTAACAAAAAAAAGAAAAATCATTATCATCATTGTCGACTACTACTCTGTTAACCAATATCAATTTCTCCGATCTTCTTCTTTAATATAAATTTCGTCTCTCTTAATTTTATTGCTCTGTTTATTAATACTACGTTTGCAAAAAATAAAGGTTTATTAATCTTCCTACTATGTTGCAACTATTCGAATATCAACCGGACAAACCTTTCACGACATGGTGTGCTTACCATTGAGTCACTTTTAAATCATGTGCTTACCATTGAGTCACTTTTAAATCACAATTACTAAGCGAGATATTATTTGGCCAATAAGTTTAGAAGTTCTTAATATGCTAGATAAGCTAGATAGTTAATCTATTGTTCATATCAAGCTTTCCAGAGAATTAATTTGTAGTTACACCCTGCAATCCTGACGTTGGTTTCGGTTTTCGAATGATTCAGAATGAAGAAAAAAGTAGATCCAATGGCGGATTTTTTTTCGAACTTGCTGAAATTCTTGAATTTTCATTTCGTTTGAGAATATGATACGGGCATTCTTGCTGATAATGATGCGGTTTGCATTTTTATTATTATTATGGTTGATTTATGCAGTTGCGCTAGAATGATATAATGCTTGTAATATATTAATATTAATATACATACAAATAAGTAAACAATATAGAAATTTCAATTATTTTTCAGCTTTATGCTTAAGAATCATTAGGTGAAGAGCATCACAAGCATCTTATTATGTGAAACCTCCACAGAATGTCGAACACTTGCTACTTCTTAGCGCTCCACTTGATGACTTGATCACTGCACTATTTGTGATAATAAACACTTTTGAATCAGGTAAATTCCAGTTTATATTAAAGGTAGTAAATTACATTAGTTTTGTTGCAGAAAATTAGTTGATATGCAGAAAATTGGCGAGTAAATTATTGCTATTTGCTGCTCGTAATAATGCTGTAGTGCCGGATATTTTTGAAATCTCTCAAGAAAAAAATTTGTGTATCTAGTAAAAAAATCGATAGTTACAGTAATACTTTTCAGGTAGATATGAAAATGAAAACAAATACATTCCAACATCTACTAGAACAAATGACAGCAGCAGGTGATAAGATGAGAGCGTTTTGAAAAATTTACTCGAAAAAAGGTAATTAAAATAAAAATGAAATACAACACATGAATATTATAAATTTTATTAATTTAACCTGTATACTTTCATTTTCTGCTTAACTTTAACTACTTTCGAGCATTTTTTTTAAAAAGCTATGGCTACATAGTGGGAAATTAAGAACTTTCATGATCGTGCCGAATGCTATATGTTTGTAAAGCATACTTTATTAGTATATTAGTACTTTAATGTAAACAGTAATCTCTGTTATTGTTATCGTCAATCAAAAATTAGCTATGGGCAATTATATATGCTTGAGATTTGAATTCTTTGCAGAGAAAGATTTCAATCTGGAGTTGAGTCATGTCTGTTCGTCTTGGATTTTAGAGATATTGGCCGGAGCTTTTCCAGATGCTTGCACAAACTTCCATCACACCTGTACATCAGCGAGCAAATTCAGCTAAAATGGCTGTAGATAAGATTTATTTTATGTCCTTATTTTTGTCTTTTTTGTAGTGTAGTATAAAAAAATTGTTAAAGGAATTCAATTTCAGGTAATGCTGTAATAAATGCTCTTGAATGAGGTAACCTGATAATGCTGTAATAAATGTTGCTCTTGAAACTTGCCAGTGATTTTTAGCCGAGGACTTTTTACATTTGATTCTGTATGTGCATCATCATTGTGCTGAATTTGATTTATTTCAGTTCAAAACTTGCAACGTAAATTCTATTCTGTTTTTTTTTTTTTTTTTTTCGGCATTACTTTTACTCTTTATTTAGTTTTGATCATTAACGGCCATGTCTAGGACAGTGCTTTATTTAGCAATAAATTTTTTTATACAATCTCATTTGATTTTTTATAGGATAAAAAGACAAAGTGAACGACCATGACGAACGTCAACGCGCTCTTGCTTTTAACCTTTCATTTATCTTACTAACCAGGATTCGATTCATATATGATGACTTGGTCAATAATTTTCATTTTAAATTATTTGCAGTGTGTGTTTTGTTTATTTGATTGATATGTCTGTTGTTCAAAGTTATTGTAATAATTTAAATTTTTTTTATTTTTCTTTATAGCGAGCTGGTCGAGCTGGTAAATGGGGCTGTTCGTGGAATGAACAATATCCAGTCATGCTTCTATAAATTTGCATCACAATTCGTTGGACAGCAGCTGATAGTTGCAGTTTATCAAATGCTTACACTAATGAACAAAAGGCAACATTTATTGATCGTGTTAATATGTTGAAACGTGCAAAATCGTTCTAGAATTCAAGGACATGAATTGCACTTTAAATAAAGAACTATGCAAATTGCTTCAAAACAAAAATTTAATATCAATTTACACTTCTTTATTTTGCAGAGTGAATTATGCTGAATCGGTTGATTTTTTACCAGTTATTGGCCAGATTCTTTTGGACGACTTCAGGATGATGAAATTTGAAAACTATGAGCATCCTCACGAAAATATTAAGGTAACTACATTTATTATAATTAGAGGACTTTGGATGCTTTAAATAAGTGAAAGAGATGAACTATGACCCATATCACTTTCATGCTGTAATTCTTGATTTCAAAAAATTTTGATGGTTTTAACACACCAAATTAACATTAAATTTTAAAGCAAATATTCTAAATGTGTATTCATTCGGTAATTTACATAATCAATATTAATTTAGGATCATGTATGATCTTTTGTCATTTTTGCTATGTAACTGAAAGAAATTGCAGAATGTATTGCACGCTTTTCGAGATGATGCTAATTTTATGATCGTTTGCTTGGTCCAGTAGATGTGTTCACAATCTGTAACTAATCCGTGTCAGAGTCTGGTGAAATCTTTCATTCGAGCTCTCGAGTATCCTCACCAGCTAAGTCATACGTAGCAACAATGGTATTTTTATATTATTAAATTCTATGTTAGTTCTATTTAATTCAGGTAAGTAGCATAGCATATTTTGACAATTTTAAATTCGATGAAAGTGCAAAATTTTTGTTTTAAAGCATGCTAATATCTAAGCATGGTGTTGACATCGGCTACTTGTTACACCTTAGTGATCTTTCCATTTGTGATTTACATGGATCAAATTGTGCGAAGAGAAAACTGCCAGCTGTACCCACTTCATAGAAATTGCTTACAATTTTCCTTTCACCTAAGCACTCATTTACAGTCATCGGATGCAGAAATGTTGAAACAAGCATTTACTTACACACAAGCATGTGGATTTCCCAGTGTTTTGCAACTCGTCGACAGATGTAACAAGGCTGGTGTTGTTGAGAATTGGTGCATGGTTGGTATTTTCATTTCAGTTGACCAAAAATTTAGAAAATAAACACAAAAATATATTCTTCGTTATTTCAAGCAGATAAAATTCATCCATTTTCAGCTGTTGTATTGTCGTCTTGTGTTCATATGTTAATGGCTGTAGTCATTTTTGTTACTTATGCAGTCATAGCAAATATTACTGCAGTCCCGAAATCTAGTAATTGAACATGTAGCAGTTGTTATGATTTCTTTAATACAGTGATACAAAGGTTAACTTATTCAGGTTTGGTTAAATGCGATGCTAAAGTTGTCGACAAGTGATGAAATGTTGTATGCTAGTGAATTGTCTTGCTGCTGGTATTATGTCACCGGTGCCTTGCATGCTGAGTTTTGCTCGAAGCATCAATGAATATATATTTGAACAAAACGTCGATTTTGGTGAAGGATTTTGCTAAAATTCTTATTTCTTCCCAAAATTTGCATTTATTTTTGTAATTTTTAGATTGTGTAGAGCCAAAAGCATTAGTGTCTGCGCGATTCCTTGTTTACTGTTTGCAACTTGCTGTGCATGCACTGGAGGCAGCAGAAAGAACGACAAACACGAATTGTAAGAGGCGATTGCGCAGAAAGGAAAAGAAGTGGTGCTTTTGTCATAAGACTTACATTCGGTTTTGTTCGACCATTATCTCTCGTAGATCTTCAGATTTTATCTCCAAACTTGCTTTAGGAGGTTAGGTATCATTTTTTTTAAGTGATGATCATGACGATGCCGAAACCGACCAGGCAAATCCTGTTAAGCGTTCTGTTTTAGTGATTTTTGAAAAATTTGTTCGGGAGACTAGAGTTGTACGTTTGAAGGTAAATTTAATATTTTTAAGCGGATCTAAAAAAGTCAAGAAGAGATTGCTGCACACTGATGGCCGAGAAATTGTAAAGGTTTTTGATGAATGTTTTGTTTTGGAAAAGATAAGAATTTACTGTTTAATCTTAAACTTTTCTGCAAATTTAACAAAATTCTTTACTCGCAACCGGAAACATAATATATATATCTTCTTTGAGGTTATGCTATGCATAATTTGACAAGGCGGAATTATTCGTTATTTGTTATAGAGTCATATATATCACTTTGTAGTATCGCTTGCTACTGCACTACAGAATGCAGCCACTCGAAGAATAATTGAACTTCTACCGCATGATCTGGTTGGTAAATTTAGATTTAAAGTAAAAGACTAGTTAGCAAATTCAAGCATGCTATCTTGAATTATTTCATTCCAGAGAGTTCTTTCATAAATCTTACTATATCAGAAATTTGCTCGTCTTGATCCGCAGACTTTCAATTTGGATCGTTGTGTGATGTTACCAGTACAAAGAGAGCACTCGAATTTACATGTCTTTTAAGAAAACTTGGTGGTTTTTAAAATATGATTATTTTATTGTTAATTTGATTTTGAATTATTTTGTTTTTTGATTTTGGAAGCATTACTTGTTCGTTTTTGAGCCGCAATAAAATAGCAAACTCCACTTTGCTCCATCTGTTAAACTATTTCGTTTGAAGCCACTCCACAATCAGATTTGGTTCAAATTTTTTTTTTCGTGGGAGCCGCTATAAATTGCATATTATTCATACATTTAAAATTTATGTGTGCTACCCGTATATATTAAATTTATGAGCAGCGTTATTTATGCATTTCGGGATTAGTACGATTCCCAACCGACATTTTCCACATTCCACACTTGTTTTCAAATCCTAATTCCAGAATTCTGATTTCTCGATGTCCAAAATGTTAAAGGACATTGTTTTGGTTTACTAGAATTTCATGAAAGATAGAAAAACTTAGTAACATGAAGTTGGTTACATAAACCGCCTGCAAGGAAACGCTTCTCACGATGATTACGTAAACTCGACCTCAACAAGACCAACGAGGCTGCAATGGTTTAAGAAGTGAATGATTCTCTCAGCGCCTCACTGGGTCACACCAAAACCAACACTCGCAACCTGCGGCGGGGAACGGCACAACTGTCTGTCCCCAAACGCAAAAATTATGCTGTTGGCGAGTCCCAACTCGAGACTGCCACACGGGTCAGTCACTGCCCACAAGTGCAATGGGCCGACCTCACCGTGGAGTACTCGCCTTCTTGATCGCGAGTCACCTCCCAGCCAAGTAAGTTTAATCGACAACCGCAAACTTGTCATCATTTTTCCCTGCTCACCATTCCCGACGGGATACTCTCTTCGCAAATTGCTATTCCTCTTTGTTTCTCTGCTGGCATCAACGCCTGTTTACTCTTTTCTTCACTCTCTTTCTCTTTCTCCTCTCCCTTACATTACTCATCTCCAAATGACATTTTGCTGACTCGCAAAGTTGTTGTAAATATGCGCTTTCTCGATTATCAGAAAAAAGTGGCCTATCTAGAAAGTAATCTATTTTGTGAAAAGAAAAAGATGCGACAATGGTGACAAACATGATTTGAGGACATTTATTAGTGTTTGTCAAGCTAACTTCCCTTTGTGACTGTCAACTTATTCCCTTAGTACATCTCATAAGTGTAAGTGTCAATAAAGGCTAATTTCTATCTTTGCTCTTATCGAATGTGTCAAATTCTTAAGTTGTATAGCAGTTGGTTATTTCTTTTGATGAAAAGGTCAAAAATTATTGTCAATTGCTACTGTCTTCAATTGACATTCTGCTAACCATCAATTTTCGAACGATTTATTATTGTGTCACAAGTGGTACTTATTCAACAGTAATAGTAAATAAAAGCCCATAACCTTAACGAAAGTCTTTCTCATTTAAAATATAGCAAACAAAGAATTTTCGGATATGATTGTAAAATATGTGAAATACGTGTTATTCTATTGTAAGTGCAAGGAAATGATGCATGCAGTGATAAAGGATGCAATTTTTTCATATGTAGATTTTGCTCTTTTACTGCTCAATTAATTAAAAAATATTAATTATAAAATTAGTTTTAGCCATTTTGCTCATTCTCCTTTGATGGTGGTTAACCACGAGTAATTTAAAAGTGGAATAATTACAGTTAATTCACTCATTCATTCATTCATTCAATGGCTTGAGTTTACAGGAATAAATTTAAAATGTATGATCTTCATTTGCTTCTTTAACATTCTTCTTTGATCCTTTATTACCCTATTACCTTGTTCCTCTACTACCCTGTTATTGAACGCTCAATTTAGTCTTAAAGAAACACTGTCGGGAAATGATCATTCGGAAAATCCTCAGAATTTTGTTTTTTTTCATGCATAGATTTTGCTCTTTTACTGCTTAATATATTTGTTAAATTTCACTCTCTAATCAATTAGCAAATCAATCATAATATCAAATATTAATAAAATTGTTATGATTGAGCATAATTAGTGATCTTGATTATTTCTTTACTTTTGATTTAAATTAAATGCAATTTGACTAAAAAATATCACGAATGGAATGATTGATATTATTTGTGAAATAGATGTACAATAAGATTAGTGTTGAATTAATGACAATAAAAACAATGGCTGATAAGAGTTACATACCTAACTTAACTCAAAAAAAAAAAAGAAAAAAACACAACATTGGATCCTGTTTAGTACCTAAACAAACTGTGTAATAATTAGCGAGCAAAATGATTTACAGACAAAATATTTCACAATTGAAATAAAAGTGTATTAGATGTATTCTTGAAAGCAATCAAACTTCCACAAAGTATATCAAGTCTGCGCCTCTCCAACAGATGTTCATTTTACAGATGCCATTTAAATTTTGTTCAAAATGTCCTTGTCATATAATAATGACAGATTTTAGTAGTTACTGAAGATTACTGAAGATAAATCGATCGCAAGTGAAAGATGGCAGAACGCATGGAGATAAAAGTTTTACTTTCATTAAAAAGCTTAAAAAGCTTTAAATTAGTTAAAAGATGATGCAATTGAATTGAAATGAGTCATTTTGAAAAGCATTCCAGAAAATAGCAAAGTGCATCGTTTTTTTTTTCTTTTTTTCTTTGCTTTTTCAGATTTCAATATAATTCATGACAGTTTGTAATAGAATAAATAGATTTGTAGTGAAATCAATGCAGAAAGATAAAAAAATCGATAGGAATTGAAGAGAATTGTGAGTCATTAAAAAAAGAAAAGAAAAAAAATGAGACAGAAGATTTTCTAATATTTTTACATGTTGGAAAAGAAGAAAAAAAAAATGCCAGGCTTTCCGGATTTTCTTTCGGAATCATTTTTATTCACCGACAATATTGGATGACATTGAGCTATCTTGGTCCAAAAAAATACTGCTGTGCAGAGTAAGTGGAAACTGGACAATTTTGATTGTAAGCAGTTGCTGCAGCAGTAGCCTGATAGCTATTATATGTATTGTTATATGCTACTGCAGCATTGCTATCCAACATCTGTTGGTAATATTGATGACTGCTGTAGAAATATGAATTTAAATCCTGAGGATGTGGATAAGGCGGTGGTGGAAGTGTCATTTGATGTAACGACAGTGATGTAGTTGAGGTGGTTGACAATGACGAAGCTGTCACTGATGCAGTCGGGAATGTCTGTAAATAGCAAAGATTAATTAATAAGTAGAAATTAAGAAGCTACTTTATGATTTCAATTAATTATTCAATATTAAATCTATAACTATTATTATTCAATCATTATAATACATTAATTGAGGTTGTTGTATTGATGAGCTATCTGTGACATAATAATTTAACTTATACAATTTGCGCCACTATTTTGACATAATTTCTCAAACAAGAAATTAAATTTTTCATCTAAGCCGGGCATTGTGACAGCAAAGCAATTGTAAATAAATGACCATGAAAATCTTATTATTTACCGAATTTTCTGACCATAAGTTTTCGGTCACCTCAGAACTCCTTGATAATGAACCATTAGTGGAGCATGAAGCTTGTACTCTATCGTCTACGTTTTCCGTCTTTATTGAATTTCTTAAATTGACAAGCAAACTTTTTGAATTTTTCGAGCTGAAATTACAAATGTTTTATTAATGAAAATGCGTGTCGAATTCTTAAGAAATAGGTAATACTCTGAAGAATTTAAAATCAACCAATAACAATCTCCTTAAAAAATTATACTCCAACTACAAGTTGCTTACTTGGTCTCAAGTTCACTAGCAAATTGTCCTGTGGATTTTGACACTGCGTATTCTTTTGTTCCATCTGAAACTTCCTTCATTGGACTATCCATGGAATCTGCATAAACATTATTCAGATTAGCAGCATTTGTAGTACCACTTGAAGATGAGCTAGCATCCGTAATTACCTGTAGTCCTTTCGGCTTCTGTCTCTCCTGTTGTCGTTGCTTAGCACGTCGATTCTTAAACCACACCTGGTTTGCAATACAAAAGATAGCATATTGTTAGTCTATGACATTAGCTTTGATTATTTTCCCATAAACATTATTTAATCAAGGCTTTTAATCAAAATTGAAATATCAAATTATTTTTCTCTTAACTTAACAGCCGAACAAGAAATCATGAAGGACTGAAATAGAATCTCCTATATGCGAATTTATTATGATCAAAATTTCAATACAGTATCTGCTACAGATGACAAACTGTAATATAATATTTATTTGTGTGTCATACCCGCATCAGAAACTATTTTTGGTATGTCAAATTATTAGCTGTTGCCATATTTGACAAGGCTCACAAAAAGAATGATTGGCAAGTATGGCAAATGCTCGCCAGTAGTTATTTATTTCTTTTTTTTCGGTGTTTATTCCCGGTGACTTTTGAATAAGAGATATTATTTTGCTTTATTATTTTCATAAAGATTTCGCTTTTTTATAAAGAAAAATATGCATCATTTTTTAGGGATTATTTTTGAGTAGTAATATAAGTAGAAATATTAGGTAAATCAAAACCTGAATTCGACTTTCTTGCAATTGTATTTGCTCAGCAATTTTTTCTCTAGTAAATACATCCGGATAATGCGTTGTAGCAAACAAATTTTCTAAAATTTCCAATTGTTGCTTGTTAAACATTGTTCTTTCTCGTCGATTTTTTCTTGGAATCATTCCTGAAATGCAAAAAAAAAAAAAATAATTTATTATAAGCAACAAAATTTTTGAAAATGAATAAAATAATTTTTAAAAAAAATAATGAATGAACCATTTGAATAGCTATTAGTAAACATTCCCATTGGTGCTATTGTATGTATCGGTGAATAGCCAAAGGCTGGTGTAGTGTTTGTGGTACCGGAAGGACATGATAAATGAGCATATGGATTAAATGGTACTGCACCATATATCATTTGATCTTTAGCAATTTAATCTTAAATAAAACAAAACTTTTTATGTCTCAAAAACTTTTTGTGACATATTGAAAGCGTTCAAAAAGTCATAATTCAAAAAGTTCAAAAAGTCATACATTTTATTAGACACTTTTATTCACACTATATTTTTTTATTTTAAGTTTTAATTTTTTAAAATTTTTAAAGCTATATCGATGCTATTTGTTCAATATTTGCTCACATCATTCACTCCTGTTTCAAAAACGTTCAGGTACGACTGTTACAATGTTCTACCATCTGATATGCTAAGCTTGCATTCTTACCTTATCGTGTCATTTTTTTTTCTCCCTCCTTCTCTCTCTCTCTCTCTCTTTTTATCAATGCTTCTAAAGGGAAATTAATTTATTTACTTTATACGAACAGTTCCTCCTAATACTCAATTATCATTGGTATTATCCAAAACAAACAATAGATAATTTCAGGAAAAACTGTGCAAAAGTGTGAAATGTATTCTTTCATTTGTGTGTCACAGATTTAGCCATGCAAATTTGCTAAGAAGACAGTACGGAACATAAATAATGCTTTCTGTGACTTTTCAAAAACTATTTTTATTATCAGATATAAAAATATTTGTGAATTATCAGTACTGAAAAAATCCGGAGAAATTTCCGTTAAATTAAAGAAAATTCTGTCAAATTTTATATTAATTTAAGATAGAAATGACCAATTGGACAATTTCATTTTATTCAAAAATTTAAAAAAACCTCTTGCTGAAATAATATTAAACTCAATGTCTATAAAAATTGAAATTGTAAATGGATAGGATGAAAAGTGAGAAGAAACTCGTTAACAATTACTATTCTATCTTTTGAAATTCACTTGAATTTTTAATTGCGATGACATTAATTATTT